CTCCCATGTTCACGCACTTTACGGATAAGTGACTTTCGTTCCACTTCTATGCCCCATTGACTGCCTCGCCTGGTGTATTCAGTGTGGGCGTATTGTTTATGCCTGAGAGGGAGCAGCTTCTATTGTTTTCACTAGAATTTTGGCTCGCGCACGTATATAAGGACGGCTAAATATATACGTATATGTAAATGGACAAAAACTACTCTTTTTCAATGAAATCAAAGAAAAGTAATGAGTTAAACTCATGCTGGTCTATACAGGGTTTTTATAACAAATATGAGCAAATATAGACTGTTTCTTTCTAATATCTGTTGTATTAATAGGCGGAATAACGTAGTGTAATAATGTGGTGTAGTAGGAAGTGGCGCGCTATTACACACGCATGGTTCAAGGATCGAATCCCGGATCGGTACTCGCCCGGTCCAAACAGGCCTTCCATCCATCTGGGGTCGGTTAATTGGTTCCAGACTCGTCTGGAAGGATAACAGCATCGAATTGTGTGTCAGCTGGCCGCCGCAATTCATTGTACTGGCCACATACACATTCAATGCACAACTGTGATTACAAATGGAGTTCGAATACGGGGCGCATCCCACAAACGGGCGCGTTTGTTGCCAGAGACTTTAACCACAAATTTTATTGCAATAATGAGTATACCACTACTAATCCAATATATTACATGTGAAATGTCTAATTGTTTGCTGAGTAGCAGGAGACGACTTTATCAGCATCCCCGAGAGGTCTAACACGGCCAATAACATTATGCCATGTCTGCTATGATTTTTGGTACGCACCAACAGAAATAAAGGTGAAAATTCCGATACTAATAGGAATCGTGATTTAGTAGGATGCGTTGGGAGCGCGGGCCAACGGAGAGGTTTCCTCGTTTGGAGGGGACGATAGCTTGGAATTGCGTCATGAATGGAAAGGGTGCTAGGTAGTCTGAAAGATGGAAAACATAGAAAAATTATTATGGCCACCAAAATGAATGACCCAGCTTTCATTTCGAAATTTGTTTCAAGGGAACAGATGTTCTTACTAGTTCTTCTTTCTTGGTTTAATATGTATTCATCGTTAACTTTCATAACCATTGAAAATACAGTTGTTTTTCCATAAGTGACTTATTTCTACTGACTTCCAATTCATTCGAATGGATAGTAGAGTTGAGAGAAACGAAAGTTCTCGACACCTTCATTTTGCTTTCAATCAAGGTTAAAGGGCCGCTGAAGCTGGTCGTTGAAGTGACACTTGTGATGTCTATGGAGTGGGTGCGTAGATGAATTGTTTGACAGACTAGTTGAGCTCAATGAAGAGTAATCGGAAGCTCAATTCAAAGTATCAGGGTGCCCTTTTGAAATGAAGTACGGAAGTGTAGGTACAAAATCGGTAACAAAGAAAGGGAGGAAATCGCGAAGTATAAATCTCTCTGAAACTAGTTAATTTCAGGGATTGTACGAGATTATAACGGCAAAAGGGTGTTTGGAAGAGATTTCATTTGTGTGCAATTGCGTAAAACTTGGTTACGGTATCCCCCTGCCAAAATTGCTTTCCATTGCTGCACACCCGGGCCATCAGTTGTTTCAATTTTTAACATACCATGTGCCTCGTTATAAATGGTGCACCCTCCACAAGGCGTGAATACACTACCTTTCCTGGGTATGATCACCTGCAGGTTTTCAGGCCGTTCCTAATTGAGACCTATCCGAGGCATTCCTCTGCCCNGAAATTTGTTTCAAGGGAACAGATGTTCTTACTAGTTCATCTTTCTTGGTTTAATATTTTAACCAAAAGGTCATCCGTATTCATCGTTAACTTTCATAACCATTAAAAATACAGCTGCTTTTCCATATCGACTTATTTCTACTGACTTCCAATTCATTCGAATGGATNGGGGGGGGGGGGATGCAAACGTCTCTCAGTAGAAAATTAGGAAAGTCATTTGTATCGAGGACTGCCCCTTCGAAGCAATTTTGAGTGTCTTTTTTCAAACAACAATGATACTGACAGAAAGATGAGATGCTTCCATGCTACCCTAGTGTAATAATATCTCTGCTTCGACAAATTCTGGTTTCATAGTTGAGAGTTTTTCTCGAAAAAATTTTGATTTCAATTCGTGATACAATCTGACAGCTTCTATGACTTGAAGGAGCCGTACCGCTGTGAAGTCGCTCTGACTCAAGCAAAGCATATCATGAAACTTGAGAACATGAAAGAAAAATGCTTCTCGGAGAAAAAAAAACGATCACGACGAAATCCGATAAGTGCCAGTCGTAATCAAGCACTAACATTCAAAGGGGAATTCACTGAGTGGCTCAATTCAGATAGGTATGAAGCTGTGCCGTGGGAAGCATTCTGTAAGCTAATAAGTGGCTTGTAGACGAGTCTAAAGCCTCACAAGAAAAGGTCTCGAGCTCATACCATGTGTTGCTATGAACGTGAACAATTAAAGGCACAGTTCACGATGAAAATAGTTTCTGAGATTTCCTTATAGCATGAATTCGAGGCTCCCTCTTATACCATACATGTCGTTAGTAGGGCGAAATACATCCTGGATAGGGCACACTAAGGAATCAGAGCTTCTGTAAATGCCACACCCCTAGTGGACGAGTTTCAACGGCTTTGTATAGCTACACTATTCATAAGAGAACCAATGTAGGAAGTTAAAACAACTTGTCATGACCCACAGCAACAGTTCTGAACAGTTGCGATTTGATGTAGTCATTTCTTTGCGCAATGGGAGCCAATTGAATCTCGTCCAAACACCCCTTACATACCATTTCTTCACGGTGAACTTGCACAACCTCCACTTCCATTACTTTTAAAAAGCTTGAGATAGGCGGACTTCCCGGCTTTCTTCGCTACCGATGTACTCCTCTACATCAACACTTCCACTTTTCATCCTCTCAGAATTATTTTGAACTGTGCCTTTAAAACAAGCCTTCAAAGCTTCTGTTCTGTGGTTCCGTGGTAAAAAAAACTGTAGCCGTTTTTACAGATTGACTTCACTTGTTGTACATTACCATTTGGTTGTGTCTCGTTGATGGTCTCATTACCACGAACAGCATTCCGATTAGGAGAAGTAAGCCCATGGATATTTCATTTTTCGTTACCATTTTTTTTCAAAATGGATAATTCCAGACTATTGAAGCTCAAGTTACTGTAAATAACCGAACACGTAAAGCACTGAAAGACTGCGCTCTTCAATTGGCCATGAAAACCCAATTCGAAGCGATGAGTAGGTCAGTATGGTTCCCACTGGAAGGACCAAGGGGCCCACAATGTTTTCTCTCCCTTCTGATTTCACATATATCATTTTAGGTACGAGCATGTAAATGAAAAGAAATTGAACGAGCACTTGATTGAAACCGTTCCTTTGGGTAAAGTGAAAGCACGGCACAAGGAAGTAAGTTCAGAGTCGGATAACTCGTTACTGTCTGATTTGCTGTCTGCCCATCCAGTACTCCATAAGTTTAACGTATTCCCCACAGGTATTTGCAAAATGTATCGTTCGAGTTCCTGAAGGCGTTCCTCCCACACAAAACTACAATCGCGACGGAGGTGACACAGCTATAATCGCAATTCATTATGTGCTGAAATTTACAGCTTTGCCTGGTAAGCTTGCTAATTTCGACATCGATTCCGGGAATAGAAGGTAGATTGGGAAAAGGAAAAATCAACTGAAAACACAGCTGGTTAATTGTTTCTATGAACCCTCTGTAGAACTAAAATTTTTTAATAGACTTGCAAAACGGCAACACTTATTTCGATATTTCATCTATCAAGATAATCTGCTGCCTCCACGATATAGCCCATTTTCGGTTCCCAAACTTCCACAATGAACTCTTAAAGACACAGTTCCCTCCCCCCTCCCCCCAACGCCCTAGTTAAGGAGTTATAGAGGCTCAAAGATTGGCCCGTGTGTTCCTCGGACGAGTTTCATCTGCAGTGTAGAGGCTGCTTCGATCACAAGGGAACCCATGTAGGAAGTTCAAACAACTTTTCATGACCCAAAGCGACAGTGAAAGACAATTTGTACAGTTCTGGCTTGATGTAGTCAGCTCTTTGTGCAATTGTAATGACTGAAATCTCGTCCAAGTACCCTTTCTCTGTTACTTCCGTCGCGGTAATCTGCAACCTCTACTTTTGAGGAGCCATATTTTCCTCGAAATGGGCGAATGCTCTTGCTTTCTTCACTACCGAACTATTATCAATCTATACTTCCGCTTTTCGAATAAAAACGGGTACCTCAAAGTTATTTTGAACTGTGCCTTTGACCTATTAGTCTTTTTGACAATCAGAGAGTATGCCAATTGAACAATGACCAGTTTGCCTTTCAGTTCTCAAAGTTGTGATTCATTCGTGATTTGTGATCGTAATTTCCAAGACGCTCGCATTTTAGGGATCGAATGCGAAATCCCGTTAATCGTCACCTCAATGGGTTATGCGGATACTGGCAAACAAGCGGCATTTGTCATTCACAATGCTCGAAAAAGTCCCAGTAAACAACAGCGGACAACACGAACTATGATTGAAGGCAAAACTCTTTATCAATAAAAAGTTCTATACAAACTATAATATGTACAAGTTGCATATAGGTTCTGTAATCGAGGTGATGTCTCCATTTGGTTGATCCCATACCTGCGACTCAGGATTGCAGAAATTCTGAATTTCTGAGGTTTATAATAGGTGTCTCTGTGAATGCTCGATGAAGGGGCCGTAAGGGCTGTACCTGATTTGAGATCAGTGAGATTTAATAGTTTTGTTTTTACTCTGTACTTGTAATCTCTCTACGGGATCAAAGACCAGAGGATTATCTAATTCTAAATCAAGGGCGATTGCTGTAGGGCAGATTATGGCCATTGTGCAACAGGTTGATTGCCTTTTCCGAGATAAAACCGGTATAGAACACATGTGCACATTTATGGTTTGAGCTGTGACGAGCATGGACGTTATCGGGAAATAATCCCATGCTTATGTATTTAGTTATGATTGTCGGCATTGATGTAATCTCTGAACATAAACGTAATCACTTCAAGAAGAGAAAGAGTTGAAAAAAATGCTGGAACCCAAAATATTTTCAGATCTCCAACGCTTCGAAGCTTGGGCATACATATGCACAATGTCTTATGCTGTTTACTACTATATTACTGCCAGACAGGTTTGCCACAGTGGAGCAGTTACGTTCGGTCGAAATGCCGAACAATTCTTTGTCGACATGGACCTGAATTAGCTCGAGGCTCCTGATCTCTGGTACCCCGTCGAGTGGCCAAAAGCAGGAGGCCAACATCTTCATGAGACTTGGACGCAAGAAATCCCAACAAAATATTGAACCTTTTGAAGCTCCATCCGCATCGACGTCCCAATCAAATAAATGTCAACCAGGGCACTAGCATTGGTCTAAAAGTCTACAAAACTTTCATTTAATTAAGAATCCTATTAAGCCATACCGACTGACTTTCAGCTAAGCCCTTGCTGAGCTCTTACTGTTTACATTTTCTTTTTCTTTGGTTTGTTTTTTAACAAGAGACTTTTTTTGGGTCGTGTAAACCAGGAAGCTACCCCATATGGAACTAGTGCGGCTTTGAGAATCGCTTAAACAAGAGATAATTCCAGCACAAATCTTGCCAACCTCTAAAACCCTGTCAGTCAGAACACCATGTGTAGTAGTGTAGTAATGCCCAAAAGTCCATTAAGTTTCATCGCTTACGACATTGTATACCGACAATGCAAGCAGAAAACAAAATGACTTTACAAAAATAGGGCTCCTTATGAGTAGTGAAAATAATGATTGGACGAGATTTCCATGACGGAAATGGCATGAGAAGTATACTTAGACGAGTTTTTATTTGTTGCAACTGTGTAAAGAACCGACTATATTAAAGCCGAGTTGCCCGATACTGCTTTCCTCTTTCCTCTGTTTCAATGGGTTGCGGCTAGTCAAAATTCCAAAATCTGGTGCTCTTTGAGAGGATTTCAGATTCCGCAACTCCGTTCGAACCCGCCTACCTTTGAGTTTTCATGGAACATGAAGTGTCTGAATTTGGAAATAATATTTTTAAAAAGAGGACAAATGGTTTCCGAAAGGCAGTAAAGTGTTGAACTAGAAAAACTCACATTTCAGGAAGGCTGCTGTAGTGGAGTAGCTTTTCTGGTTTTGCTTCCTTCCCCAACGTAAATAACCAAAAGGAAAGTAGTGTGCTCTGAAAAAGATAGAATTGCCCTCTCATATTCTGTTATCTGACTCTGTGACATTGTGCATTCCTGAACATATACTAAAATTGAGAGGGCGGAGGTGATGTAGTGGCAATGGGCGCACTGTCTCACACGCACGGTGTGGAGTTCAAATCACGGATCGATATCCGCTTAGGTCAACCAAGCAATCCGTCAATCCGGGGTCGGTCAATTGGTAACAGACTGGTCTGGAAGGGTAATAGTAATGACTTGTACATCGGCCGACCACCGCAAGTCCACAGTATAGGCCTCATACGCATTCAATCCGCCACTACGATTCTGAATGGAAGTCCAATGCAGGCGCATCCCTCAGAAGGGATTGATCAGCATCAAAAACTTTGTCCTTTGCCCTTATTTAATTTATGACATGCCACAGGTAGTTAAGCTAATGGACCTCTCTATGTCAGGGCATAGGTTTTTATATAAAGTTGTGTACAACAACTGATTCACCAGCGATGAACTACCTCTCGCCATGGCTGATATATACAGTAGCGCTCAAAAGTCTTCGGTAAAATGCTTTGACGCTTTTTCGTTCATAACTTTTTTCTTAGTAGACCAAATGACGCGAAATTTGGATATGTTTAACTAGAGCATATTTCACCCTACCCAACACTATTTGACTGCGAAGCTGCAATATCCACAGATAGAGCAAGGTGTTTGTTGTGGTAGCAGATTTTGCTAAAATGTTGACGGTNTGTTGACGTCTGCACTTGTTCACACCTTATGTGCGTTTTACTCATCTATTATGATCGTCGTTACCGCTCATACACATTTGACATGATGAAAACTAAAGAGATTCTAGAGGGACCATCGTTTGTATTTTCAGTCGATTTTGAGTTCAAGCTCTTTGGAATATCTGGAACATGATCAGACTGCACGTTAATAGTGGTAAATGTTCACAATACATCCACGCTCCGAATATAGAAATTTCGCTTATTTAGATCCAGTAGGAAAGAAGTTACGACTGAAAAGTACGGCTGAAGAACCATTTCACCGAAGACTTTTGAGCGTTACTGTAGCATAGAAGGTGGCGATTGGCTATTTAAGCTCTTGAGGTGATCAAAAACACGCACAAAATCACCTATTAACCGGTTTCCTCATGAAGACTCTCAGATATAGAGTGCTTAGTGTACCGCAAGTGAGGGACTCGCACTGAATCAAGAACATTGGTTGTGATGGGGGCGGATTCAAGATTCTCAGAGCCTGCTCAAGAAGATCAGTGATCAACGGAACGATACGTAGAAGATAGTCGAGCTAAACAAGGAGATTTAAAGGATAAGCTCAGCTTTCCGGCTTAGGGGGTTGTACGGTCAAAAACAAAATTGTATTTACACTATTTCGCTGTGAAATCGTTCATCATTTAAAGTCGACTCCATACGCTACGGCAGGTTAGTTCATTCAGCCTTCCGTAAGAAGCTTCGATTTCAGTATAACCTACGGGCTGAAATCAATGAAGTAAAGTCTTTGGTCGCTACCTATACCGTTTTTGGTATGCTCCGTGTACACAGTTGCTCTTCAGAATTATTGGGCGTTTTGAATGCGTATGTGGCCCTTATCGTGACTAACGGTGACCAGCAGGTGTATAAGTCAGCGTTTCCCTCCCGGACAAGTCTGATGTCAGTCTGAGTCTGAGGTCAACCCTAGAAAAATGGAATGTTTGATTGTCTCCGGCGAACAACGTTTCGGGATTCGAACTTATGACCATGTGTAATAGCGCGCCATTCGCCACTACACCACCTACGCCCTGTACTGCTACTATACTTCAAAAATGAATTTTTGTAACCTCTCGTATCTGTCTGGAAACTCATTTTTAACCCATCGAACAGTCCTTACTCATACCTATATTGTTTATAGATGTACCGATTTCTCCCATGGTCAGTGAATAGGACAAATACATCAAATGGAACCGTAGGAGACATCGCCAGTTTGGACACAAAATTCTTAGAACTGATGAGAAGCCTTCATCGGTTGGAACTTATGATGTGGTTCATAGTTGTCGTCGTCGCCATTACTTGCGCCTGGTGTATCACCAAGACGGTTCGTTCTTCTAATCTTCTTGAAAATAAATCTTTTTTGAAATCATTGGTTTAAATGGTAATTTCCTTCGAAATATCATGGGCCGAATTCTTTGGTATAGCCTTCTAACTGCCTATACTTTTACAGTCGCGAACCCTCAGACAGAAGATGGTGGGACATCTCTCCCACAATTTTTTCCAGTTTATGAGCATGAAAGGGATATTTGGGTCATCCTATGATCACATGATGAACAAGTCTTCGGTACCAGTTCGCACTACCCGAGTGATTATTCCACTGAGAATGAGAACGGGTGGCAAGTTTTGGTCAGCTTTACTCTCCCTTACCCCTCCTATCCGATCTATTAACTCTTGCGAGTGATCCAGCATGTTTCCATCCCTTTCCCAGAACCTAGTCGTCATTACTACTCTGCGGAGTGACCAGGAAGATCCAACCTAGGCTTTTTCTGAGCTCTTCTGACACTACCTGCAATTCATTTTAATTCCCATCAGTTTATAGTGTAAAAGCAATTAAATTATCAGATTTTTTATTTAGTTATGGACAATAGCGAACCGCCATAGTCGCGTAGGAATCTGTGACGAGAAGATCGTGAAACTCAAACAGTTTCGTATGGAAATGTCGAATGACGGCTGCGATCCGGTTCCCCTCGTCCGTCCGCCCATGGCAATCGACAACGCAACTTATTAACAGTAACGGATTATACCGACAACAGTTTTTACAATCACCCCGTGTCGATCTAGCAACACGGAAACAATAGGATACTCTTTTTTTCTGCTGTGTGGACATTGAAATGGGAAACTCCCTCTTCCAGTGGCTCATCTCAATCTTGCTGTTAATTTTCCTTCACTTTTGCCTTTCCTGTACTCGATGTCGTGCTCGGAAGAACAGCAGAGCTGTGTAATTTTTTTTGAAGATTTTGAGTGGTCACCCTGTTTTTTGTTTAAAAATTGACAAGAATGAAAACAACACTGTCTTGAGTATTGGCCGCAGACTACTGGTGAAATCCAAATTACGGTATTTACAAAAAGAGGGTCCAATAACTGACCTGACGCTACACACCGAAGTGATCGTTGACTTTCGATTAACGGTTTCGTTTCAGTGAAAGCGTGAACGCAAGTGTGCGTCAGCTAGGGGGGGGGGGGGGGGGGGGGGGGGCGACAATGGTTTGATCGCAGTCGAAACCATTCCAGCAACTATTCTCCATTATGATGTCACTGAAAGAATACTTTCAACTCATTCTTTTCTTTGACGCCCAAGATCTCTTCACTTCAGTTTTTTCATATGTTTTA